TTGATTTGAAGAAAAGATCACAGAATGTAAGGCAGGTCTCATCCATGCAGTAGTGAATTAAATACAGATATCCAACTATGGCTGATCCAAGCCCTTGTGCTCTAACAGTGCACAGCAGCTTGTGGAAATTGGTGACTTGATCCCAAAAGCAAAAAAGCAGGTTTTAAAATGATGCTTGAGGTGAGCAGTATCTGTTCACTGCAATAGCCAGGATTTTTCAGCATTAGTAGTATTACTTGTCACAAAGCAAAGCTCAGTCTTCCATACTTCAGATATTTGTTTCATTCAACAGATTAGAAATACCTTCAATAGCTTAAGCCAGTATTGGACCAATTAACTTCTCTTGATCTCCTGACATTGTAACAGAGTTGCTATGGAAGAAAATTGGTGATTGCAGCATTTTCAAAAAGTGAAACGGAATGGATGAGAATTAGGACAACAATTCTATTTTGGAGATTCATAAATTCTTTGCTACAAATTACACTGGTTGGATGGTAAAGAAAGCTTGAGATCATGGATTAATAGATTAGTTTGCACTGATTAGGCAATACAGTAGCAGCCAGAACCTTAGATAATATAAGGCCCCATTATTATAGTGGTCCTATCTGTAATATTTTCATGAACTTACCAGTTGTATTTTAAGAAGTTTGGTTATTTATTTGCACCACCTCTTCTGTGGTGAAGACAAAACAAACTGTGAGAAAGCAATCTTTTCTACAACCTAATTATAAATTAGGAGACCTGATTCCCACCCTTAGTGTTTTAGTAGTCTGAATGGCCTTTTATATATACTTGTTTTTGTGGAAACAATTTCCTCTAGATAAATTGTTCTTTTCCCTTCCTGCTGCTTGTCTCATCTATATTTATAGAAAGAATTTGTACTTCTTCTTGGCTTTTTTTTTTCTGCTAGACTGACTAAATGAAGTATTTTTTGTACTGTGTAGTTTGCAGTAAACCCTTACAGCCTCTGTGCAGCTGCTCCAATTTGAAATTCCTCAAGTGTGTGAGTTTTTTAGCTGTTCCAATGAGAATTACATATAACATTCCAGGTGTGCTCTCACTGGGATATTGTACAATGTCACTGTGTCTTTCTCCTTCTGTTCCAATGGGTAGTCCCTGAATTGCACCTGGCCTCTTCACAGCTCTCTTACCTTGATGAGCCCAGCTGATAGGCAGCTCTGGTTTGGAATAATGGTTACATGGGTTGTTTAATGCTCCTTCCCTCCTGGCAAAATCATTGGCAATATAGATGCTCTTCCCCACTCATTCCAGAAGTGATATTTTCTTTGAAGTTTTGCTTTGAAAAGGACAATCCTATGCATCATTGTTTCCATAATTCTGAGAAATGGAATATTTTTGACTGCCTTAACTTTAGTCATTCTTAAAGGGTTCCTATTCTCCCTTTGTCATAGTTTTCATATCTCAGACAACATATGTAAAGATTATGGTGAAGGTTGGGGTTCATTCCTGAATATTCCTCCCCATTTAGTAAACACATTTTCTCCTTTTTCCTACTTTGATACAAAAAAGCCTTAAAATACTATAATTTTAGTGTACTACTATTCAAGTGTTTGCTTTTTACTAATGTACATAAGATGCAGCTTTTTGTGTAGCTCTTTTGTCCCCTGCCTGTCTCATGTTGTTCTTGGTAGGATCTCTGCACATTTCTGATGTCTTACTTGCACATCTTCTCAATGATTAGCTTGTCACACGTGGAGTTTTACCCATTCAACTTGAGACACAGATCCTTAAATACTTGAGCATCCTTGTGTTAAACACCAGGCTTCTGCTGTATCTTGGATGTCTTTGCTAACCTTCACTATCAAGTTATTTGTCACTGACATTCAAAGACCTAATTATAAACCTGTTTGGAATTTTTCATTCTTTATTTAAATAAAAATCCAGTAATGTGTGGATTAGGTTATGAGCAGCTGTTTTATAATATCCTCATTAGTTAGTGAGAACAGTCTTCAAATAATGGAGTCATTTGCTGCTTCAGTAGCTGTTTCATAAATTTATCAGCTATTAGCTCCAAGAATAACTAAGTCTTTCCACTTAAGAGTTTGATTTGTTCTTCATTTTGTGTCTGGGTAATTAGTCTACTAAAATGATACAATTGACTTTATTTTTAGCTATGTTAAAGATCTGCATCCATAGAAAACTCTGTTGCTGGAACAAATGGCCTATTCGTCTGTCTTTGAAAGAACCTGTTTTACCAACTTCCCTTCCCCAAAGAATTTGACCCAAACACATTTCTGTTCTTATCTGTTGTATTTATTATACATCTCTGACACACCTTGTTCTACTCTTAATTTCTTTTTTGAATATTGTTTTTTCTTCAGTACTTCTATTCTTAATGGAGTGCTATTCCACCACGTGCCAGTAGTTTAAATTTCTGATTGTCAAACAGGCACAAACAGATAATGATGCTCATAAAATATACAGCTTAATTTTTATCATCCTATCACTTGGTAGTTTTTATCTATTCTTCATCATTTTAGTAGTGTATCAAAACTTCTTGTAAGGTTTAAAATTCTCTGTGTCTGTAATGCAGGCTGTATTCCAGAAGACCTGTTTTCACAGATGCTTGAAGTTGACCTTTCAGAAGATCTTTTTTCAGATAACCTACCTCTTGGTTTCTAAAACTTTCCTGGTAATACTTGTCCCTGAGCTGCTTATACCTCCAGCCATGTTTCAAAGGAACTTGATAAAATGAAGGTAATATGAGGCACCTCTTTGTCACATAGTGTTCCTTCTTTCTGTTGCCTCCTTCCTCGTCCCTTCCTTCCCCCATTTGTCAGGTATGCGTAGTTGGCAGGTTTTAATTTTATTATTAACATCATGATTCAGTTTTCTGAGGTGTCTTAGTTCTTTTAAGATTTATAGTCCAAATATTAATTTGGTCCAGGGAAGCTGCTCTAGGTGGCTTTATAAATGCAACCTTTTCTACTCACTAGATTATTTTTTCTATAGTGTGGATTATTCTACACCAGTGTACTTTATTTATTAGATACGATGTCCTAGCCTTTCTTTATTAGAATTGTGAATATTTTTCCATCATATACTCAGTTTGTTGTTTGTATTTTGGAAACCCTCTCCTGTTGACTCCCATAATGCACAAGAAACAGGAATGATGTTGCAACATGTGCATCCAAAACCACCAAACTGATGTGTTGCTTTTATTCTTATACAAGTGTATTTGTCTTCTGCTGTTTTGACGTTGAATCCTACACAAGTAGCCCAGGTTCAAACATTTTTGTTGCACTGATTCCTGTTATGTTGTACTTGTGTTTTTAAGTAGTTTCTTAATAACCAAATCCCCTCCCTTTCTATCCCCTGCTCCATTTTTCCTTTTAAATTTTGCTTGTTGAATCTTAACATTTTGCTGACCCTGTGCCTTCCCTCTGCTACAAAATTCCTAAAATTCTTAAATGCCTGAATATTGTTAATGGAAATTCAGTCTATTGGTACACTGTACATAATACAGTATATATTATGATTATTGACTCTAGAATGACTTGCAAATTCAGTGCTTCTGAACTGATTATGTTCCATAACTTTTCTAAAATGCTTTATGATCACAAATTTTAAGAAATTGAGCGTCTCTAGGCTCTTCAAACTGTCAAATGTACCATCTTACAGAGAAGAAGGAAAGGGGTTGTATGAGACATATTCCTGTGATTTTGATTTCAGGTTTTGATGCCTAGGTCTTGGTCTTTGGATGAGGCTTGCATGTGCATATGTTAAGGATAGAGTAGATGAGGGGAGTGTGCAGGAAGGAGGATGTTGTGTGTCATATTTCCTTCTCTTTTCAGTAAAATGACAGACAGAGGTGGACATGATTTTCTTTCAGTGATACAGTCACTGTTAAATGAGTATCTAGAGAGGATATTCCTGCCAAATGAAATGCAACTTCAAATTATCCATATATTCCCTTTATACTCAAATCCAGTTTACTGATAGGAAGAAGGCTAAGCTAGTATGACTGCTCTACATTACAGAGTGATTATACTGCTCTACATTCTTACAAGATATCAAGGGAGACTTCTTACGACCTTATGTACCTGGCAGGTACTCATTTTCTTGACTAACACAGCAAATTGCCTTTGGTTTACTCCTCAGTCCCACAATTCACACGTTGCACACTTAAGGTTGTGTGATTCACTTTTGGATTTTCATGCTGGGTAGTTTCTGCCAATGATGTTCAGTGCAATGCTGAAGATTTAACTACTATAACTTGATGTCATTTCTTATTCTTGAGAAAACTCTCTGCACTTCTCAGTTACTATTAGCAGCCTCCAAGTTTGTATTTGGGATAAGAAACTTCTGAGCTTTCACACATCCCCCCCTCTACACCCTTCTCAGTCTTCCCACGCAAACCATATGAGCAATCATATAAATTTTTCACTTAGTATGATTAAGGTTGCAGTAGAATAAAATGCCAAAGTACACCTGGGTTTTAAAACAGAAAGTAGGCTAACAGTTTTATATGCATGCTCTCCTCCTATATATGCTCTGTGCTCTTTAATCTGCGATTTTGCTAAAAATTGCCTTTAAATTAGTATTTTTCTAGTATTATCTGTTCCTAGGTGCTGTGCCTCCTATAAATGTGCCTAATAATGGACTAGCTCCTTTATTGTCACATTGTATATATATTCTTTAAATAACTGGGAAAGCTATCTAGGTTAATCTTGGTGAAGAGCCTGCAACTTGATACATCCTGTGGAATCCTGTGGTACTGTTAATTTCAGTATTGTCTTATAACTTTTTAAAAATTAAAATAAAAATCCTGTCACCTATTGGTTCTGTCCCTTTGAAAAAGGCATCTTGTAAAAGCACTGTTACTTTGATGGCATTAGATATTTATTGCAATTACTTCATTAAGCTTTAATTATTACTGTATTTGAAATTTAGTTTTTTCCAGTTTGGTGTGATGCTGTCTTTAAAAATATTTTTTCTTGAATAGGAATTGCTTTTCACTTCTTTTTCCTTTTCACTAGATTGCTGTTTACAAAAGTCAAATTGGAATCCCTATGCAGAGGCCCAGATGAAGCACTCCTTACCTGTAAACACATGCTCCAGATTTGGAAATCCTGCTACAATCTAACTAACCCAAGGTAAGATGCTGGAGAGTGCTGGGCTGCTCACTACCTTGCTTAGTAGCTTTTCAGGGCAATATTAGGTGTCAGAAGTCTTGCATTTACTTGTTTTGGTATTTCATATAAGCAAACAAATCCTCTGGAAATCTAGAGACTGAGGTTCAAGGACACCAGTTGATGGTCATGTGAATCTACCCAGGGTTGTATGAGGTAAATGCCAAAGCTACTAAATTCTGCAATGATAAAGACTGGTTATACAGATTGGGTAACTTGAATGAGTTACCCAGTTCTCAGTGTACTGGCATGGTCTTGTTTTGTTTCCTGATCAGGGTTGTAGTCTTTTATATTGGCTAGTGGAGAGAGAGCTGTAGTAGGAATTTAGTTCAAGGGTTTTCACTGAATAATATGTAAGAAGACAAGACATTCATTAGAACCATGGAAGCATCAGTGGTCACATGGATAGAAATTATGTGCTTGCATCATCAGCATGACTGTTTTTTTCAAGGGAGGTCTTGCTTATGAACCGATTTAGCTTCTTTGAAGGCATTAACAAATATATAAACATAAGTTTTATAGTCCTGTTTGGACTTCCAAAATGCTTTTGTGAAAGTCCTTTGCCATATCTATTTAGATAAGCTGTGAAACAAATGAGAAGGCCACTTCGCAGAAATCCATGCTGGCATTATTCAATATGTTTATCAACTACCTGGAGAAGGACACAAGCAGAATTTCCTGCTCTCTGGTTTGAAGGGTTGACAGCCTCTAGAGAAGAGATGCTACAGCAGAAGAGCTTTGTACCAGGTGGCATCAGATACCTGTGTAGCAGTATGATGGACGTTCAGTTTTTGCTGCACTTTGAGTCCAGTTACGTAAACACACGCATCTCTTTAAGAAGACTGAGAGAGTTGACCTAATGGCAGAAGAGGGCAAACTGCTTCTCTGCTTAGGGAGCTAGTGAGCATTCAGAGCAGCAAATATTGGAGGTGTGGCAGGAAAAGCCTGGGAGGGCACCTGAGTCAATCACAGCATATTGAGAGACCCTGACACTGCATTGTAGAGCAGGGAGCATCGCTCAGGTTACAGAAAGCAAATGTCAGCAACCAGAAAGGTTTGAGCTGAATCTTTCCAATTCAAAGTGACTGAATGTGGAGTAGGGGCCAGGGAGAAAATTTCTCTTCTAACCTAGTGGGTGGTGCTTTATTTTAGTTAGCTGGTTGTGTGTGTGGGCAGGCAGGGTTAAGAGTTTAGTATCAGAATACTGCACTTTGCAGAATAGCTACAGTTTCTGTGCAAGCCTAATTTCAGACTAGCTTTGTACTCCAACACATGTACTCCAACACAACTTTTCACCTTCCATCTCTGCTGTTATATCCTTTACACATATCAGGGCTCTAATCATAACTTGTCATTACTGCCTTGTTGTTCTTGTTCTTGTGCTAAGAGCTACTGTGCCATGTTAAACACACTTTAAGTAATACCTCCTTCAGACATCAGCAGGGACTGTGAAAACTTACTCTTGGCTGTGTCAGCTTCAAACAGCAGTGCTTGATAACTCTCCTTGGCACCATTCTCCTTCAAGAACATCTAAGTGGAAAAATTAGTGAGGATTACTTTTCATGTGATTTTTTTTTTTCATACTGATTTTTTTTATCTTGACATCTAAGTCTTTTCTTGAAGTTATGGTAGTGCATTAAAATCAAATTCAGAATGGAATGAACAGGAACTGTGGATAAGTGTCATGATAGAAGGAGCCAGATTTCCCAAATCACACATTCGGAGTTACATCAAGCAGTGAATGAGGATACCAAGTTGGAGTCTTCCTTTGGCTGGTCTGTGGGAAATGGAAGGACTGAGTATCTACAGATTGTATCACAGTGATCCAGATCCATCCAGCTCTTATCCAGGAGTAACAATTATCACTGAGACCTGAAATGCCACTGGGAAGTTCTGTTCACTCAGCTGCACTCCTCTTGTACAGAAGAGTGATGTTGTGAAAATGTTAATTTTTCAACCTTTGTTGTTTTAACACTGACTTCACTGACTTTGTTGCAAAGTGCCATTTGAAAATTATGTCTCCACTGGGAATAATGGAAGCCTTTTTTAAAAAAATTCTTTAAACCAGTAACAAAAGGTCTTTTAATATTTTTAAACCTTTTTATAATGTTGTTCTTCAAAGATTAAAGTATCTTTTATGCTTACTTGAAATATCTTTTTCTATTATGATTTAGACTGAGGACTAATTTGGTGTGTCTTTTTCCCAATAAGATAAGAATTTACTTTTTTGATAAGCTGTGGTTTATATTAAATATTTCTTCTGCAGTGAATCAGATTTAGTGGGAATATGAGTTTAGAGTCTCCAGTAATATTTTAATAATAAAAATAAATCACAAATATCTAGACATACCTTAAAAAGGGCCAAATGCAATACTGTGAATTACCTTTATTCAGTCAATATAGAACTTTTTTCTTTAATTGAAATACAAACTTTTGTCTCATAAGATGGTTAATATGAATTTTAAAATTATTTTGTGGTGCAAGGCTTGGAAGATTTAAGGGTTTGCCTTTAGTCTACTGCTTAAAATGCATTAGAAAATAGTTGAATTTTTTTCCACTTCATGGTTTGCATTTGAAAAAGGAACAAACCACAGTGCCAGTGCTGTGCTTAGAAGATATTGACAGTAGGTCTGACTCTACTTGTCAGCAACATTTGGCATGGGGTTGCATGTGGATTGAGGAAGTGATTACCACTGAAAATTTACACCAAGTGATGTAACAACTATAGCTGATAGTGTATGGCCCAGAAAGTTCCCCTCTGTTTCCTTGGATTTCTACAATGATGTCATTTTGTAAGGAAATAATGCAATAATGTCATGCTAATGCAAAATTTTAAGTCTATCGTTTTAGTAACAACTCTAAAAAGAGGGAGGGAATGATGTTTCACTGACTTTTGCAACTATTAAGAACTGTTGGGGGACTTCTTGCCATTAATTCAATCCAAATTCAGAAGGATGCAGTTGTAAAATTAAGGCAAATGGAGAGATGTTTTGAATTCCAGGCTTGCAGTTTAGATTGAAGTTTCTCAGGCTTTACTTTAAACTAGGAATTTCGTACAGTTTTTTCTCTTCAGAAGAATCAGACAAAAGATTGCACTCTGCTAAGTTGGGTTAGCAGTTCAACTGCTTTAAAGCTTAATTACTTTTAAGTTTGTGGGTGGTTTTTTTTTTTAAATGAGGTTTTAAAGAAAATATTAATTGATAATGAATAGTACTAGACTTAGCAATCCTAAAAATGAAATTACTGTATTAACCATAGAATGTTAAAGAAGGAATGCCCATATGTGCTTCCTTACACTTTACTGACAATGTGTCTCAATGCTTGCCTCATCTGAAGGAGGAAAAACACTTAGTTCTTCAGTCCCAGTTCTTGTGCTGAATTTTTAATAGTAGTTCTAGGAGCAGTTAGTTTTCCAGGAGGCATATCTACAAGGAGCCTGAGGGGCACATACTGATTTACTGTTAAAGTAGAAGTGCAGTACATTTGCCCACAGGTGCAGTCAGTAAAAATCACAGCTACGGCTTTGCTCCTGAGATGTTAGAAGTGTTCAAAATGGTTCTGCTATGCTGTTAGAGTCAAGTTGAACATTAGGCAGTTAATATGGATATGTGCATATATAAATAAAAAACAAACTGAAAACACAAAACTAAACCAGCCCTTTATAACATCTTTACCTAAAATTGGATGTCCTGGCTTTAGCCTTTCTATTCATTCCAGAGAAACTGTGGATTTTCAAACTTATATCTGCCTTCTCAGCTTTCTGTGAAACTTGTACCCCATATCATAGTCAAGGCACAATGGATTCTTTCTGTACAGGTGTTAGTTATGAATTAAATTAAAAGCCACTATTCCCTTTTTGGTTGTATTAATTATGAAAACAGAATTGCTGAAGTAAATAAAGATTTAATTTTGCTCAGCTTAATTCTGTTTTAATGCAACTGGCTTAACGCTCTGTGAGTGGTTAGTGGTGCTTGGTACTAAATTTGGTCATAGCAGTAACTTTTATAGCAAGAATCTTTGTGGGAGTAGGGCAGCATGCAACTTGTATATCAGTATATAATTTTGTATTTCAATAGCTTACAATTTCTGTACTTCATTACAGTGATTCTGGACGTGGGAGCAGCTTGTTAGACAGAGCTATTGCTGACAGACGACAGCTCAATACAATTACATTCCCAGATTTCAGTGATCCAGATACAGGTAAGAAATGCATATGAACAATAAAATAGGTTAAGTGATCTGCCCATAGCTAGATTTTCCATCAGTTTTTTTTTTTTTTTTTGATTTAGTAAAATGAAGTTATATTTTCATTATTGTCATATAAGTGAAAGTAGACATTGTGTGATATAAGATTTCTTTTTCTTGTTTTTAATTTATAAAGTACTTGCTGACCATGTTCTCTGTAAATTAAAATATCTATGGTATGGATCTTGCTGAGTTTAGTAGTATTTCCTTATGCAAGGGCTAAAAATTAGTATGCTGAACTACCCTACTTGCCAAAGTCCTGTGCTTTTTCGTTCATTCGATATTTGCGCATTTTTATTTAAAAGATAAATTCAAAAAAATTCAAAGAACTTTGAATCTCAAAAGAATCAAAAACATTGTTTTTATTAATTAAAATCTCAAATATATGTTAAAATATAATTACATGGGTGGCTAGGCTTACTGTGGACTTACTTTGACGTTATAAGCAAAATGTATTTGTCATAAATCAAACACTGTGGTATTTTTGCATACACATAAAAAATTGTGGTGCACAGATATGCCATATAAAAACTAATATTGTTACATGTCAGTAAATACTGACAATATATAATTTGCCTGTATTAATATATTCAGTTATCCCAGTGCAAACAAATATTCCTTAGAAATTAGGCAATCAAAAAGTACACGAGCCATGCATTCTGAGGAGATTGCAGAAGGAATTATCATGATGCTGCTAATTTTAAAACTTTTGCCATATCTTACTTGTGTTCTAAATATTGAATTTTCTTTTTTCTGGGTTTAAAACAACAAGAATGCTTTTCATGGGACCTTCCAGGGGATATTTCTGCTCAATCACTATTTGACACAAACACCTTCTAAGAAAGTATGCCAACCTATGAATTTGAGTACACTTGACCCATAAATTAAGACACATTGAAATGCGTACTGTACATCTAATATCACAATAGTGCAGTAGAGAAAAATCCAATTTAGTTATTTAACTTCTGAAAATTAAAATTTGATTGAATGTTCAATTTGAATATAAGGTAGTGTTCTTTGCTTGCTATAGTGCAAGCAGTTTTGATTGCAAAGATAAGGTTCAAGACCAGCAATATGATATGGAGTAATGAACATGGAATCCTCTGTCTTCTTGTATTTGTATAATTAAAAGGGGTAAGATAACATTGTATCATGCTGTGGTGATCATTCTATATTCTAGTCTAGCTGACTGTTTCGTTTTTAAGAGCATAACTATGTTTTATGGGTTTCATATATATAGATAGACATAACTATAGATAAAGTTTTATGCCTTCAAAAAAGTGCTTGTTGGAGATGGGTGTTGTGAAGGGTTTTTTGTGGTTAGTGATGGTTTTTGTTTGTTTCTTTTCCAGTGAGGACATATAGCTCTTGATTTATACCTTCAGGGTGTCCCATTGTATGCCTGCCATACTTGAGAGCACAGTAAATTGGTGCACTTTAAAGATTGCATAGTCCTCAATGCTTTTAAGGAAAGATGAACCCTCATTCAAAACAGTGAGCTTTTCAAGAAGTTCGCCCCAAATGCAAATCCTGCAGCCAATATCTTGCTCCAAATAGGATCTCTGTATACATTCTGATTTTTCTAGCAGGTCCAAATTTATTTTTTTCTGAATCTCAGCTGTATTGTTAGAACTTTACTCTATTGTCAAGGAGAACAAGATGGAAGATTAAAAATATGGGATCTGTTTTTGATTATTTATCTTATAAAAGGTAATTGGGGAAGATCAGTGGGTAGATGTCCCTTATGTTTTAGGGTGTTTTTTAAGGGGAGTTAGAGTTGATTTTGGTTGTTGGTGGGGTTTGTTAATTGTTAATTTTAGCCAAAGAAACCTTGTTGCACTACCAGTACTCAATTTCTGGCAAGGACTAGAACTTTGTTATCTACTGAATCTATGTAATTATATATGTAAAAAAGCTTTACATCCAGTATTTGTCCAGAATTCTTCTTTAGAATATTATATAAACCTTTTGCAGGAGTTAAAATATTATGTTACTACAAGAATAAAAACAGTCCAGCTTTTCATAGTGTTTGAGAAGGCTTAAGCAGACTGTCAATAAAATATTATTCACAACAGATAAATGATAGAAACAATGGATGGTTAAGATATTAGACCTTTGTAGGGCTGAATGGGCTCACCTGCAAAATCTGTGCATCCACAGTGTTTAGAAATGCAGAAGGAATTTGGCAAATAATTAAACAAATGTTAAAATGCAAAAAAGTTCTGGCTTCGAATCCTCTCAGGATAGAAATATTTGATCCCCTCCTACTGTAATGCTACTTTGTGAATACATTTGTATGTCTGGATACATGTAAACATTTGGAAATTTTCCCCTTCATAACTTTGCTTGCCATCTATGATGATGATCTCCTTTGCCTGTCTAGTCTACATTCAGTCTTCTAAGTATCAAGAAATGAGAGCTAAAATTAAAATTTGAAGTTCATGTAAAATCCTTAAAAAAAAAATCCAGGTGCAATGGGGGTAAATTCTTCTTCTTTTTAAATTTATCAATGAAGCAGAAGCTGGCCTTTAAAAAAAAAGAATTGAAAACTTGCTTTATATGGAGCACTTACCAATCCTGTAATGATTAAGTGATTCAAGTTTAAATTTGTGTAGCCTTTAAAGTATCAAAAGAATGGATTGTGGATTTCTTACAGTGCTAATGTCCTGATCAATAGCTATGTCAAATTTGCTTTAAGCTTGTCTGTTTCAGTTGGCTTGCCGTGAGTGGCATGCAGTTATATTTGTATATATCAATGAAGGAAATAAATGTAGAGGGGGGAAAAAAGGAGCTGTGATGAATCAATCAATCTCACAGGGACACAGACACATTTCATATTCAAAGACAGACAAAAATATGTAAATCTCTGCAGACTGATTGGCTATTTGCTTAAAACAAATTGCAATCAATCTTTTAAAAACCTTTCTGTTCGGTTTGGTTGCAGTCCACCTAGTTTATCACAGGAAGAAACAATATTAGGTGATTTTTAGATTTTGGCCTTTTTTTCCCCATAAATATATTTTTTTAAATTTATGCATTGGAACATAAGGAAAAAATATTTTATTTGCTTTTTAAAACGAATTTAGTATGAAAGGAGAGCACATATAAGTAAAGGTTCATTTTTGTTGTTGTTGCTTTCAGAAGTGATGTTTATTTTATGTAGGAGCCATTTTGATCTTACCCAGCAGTGAAACAAATGCTTTGCGGTTTTGGCATCCATGAGTCCGTTAAACCCTGTTGGATCTTTTTTCTTTCCTGTCCCCCTCCACACCCCCTGACCATTCTCTTTGTTTCGCTTTTTAGCCTCTGATACTTCCTCATCTTCTCTCTCAAGAACAGAGTCTCCTCTCCAACTGTTTGTATCTTCTCATCTTCCTCATCCTCATCCTAAACCAGACACCTTTGTCTGGCCCCATGCAGCCTCTCCATACTGTGACCAAGTTCCTGAGCCCTGTTCACCTCCTCACTGTAAATTGGCTTTCTGTTCCTGATGAGCATGTTTGTGCTGTATTATTCTGATAATCTTCACAGCTGATAAACCGTGGTTGAATAGATTATGTTTTAACAGTGTCAGGGAAATCTGGCCTTTCAGCTGCTTTTCATTAAATACTGCATGGATTTTAAGAGTTTCATCAGAGAAAACTGTTTTATTCATCCCAAAAGATGTAAAGCTACAGACATATTCATGTTTTTATGAATGTTACAGAGAATTATAGGTGTTCAGTGAAAGAGATTATTGGTCAAAGCTGCTTTGTAGCATTTACAGATGTAAATTATTTCCAGTGCTGACATCTTTTGCCTAAAAAGACAGTCCCTGCTACAGAATCTCCTATTATCTGGACAGTTTTTAATAACTTAATTTCAGAAAGCCTTGAACTAATTACAATCAAAACATTCCCTGAAAATTCACATGAAGGGAACCATCACCTAAATATCTGAGTGTATCATGATGCAGGTAGGGCATATTGGAATGATTTGGAGGAGGCATTAGAGCAGTGAAAATCAGCATTCTGCTGTTTCAAGTCAAGAGCCTTTCTGTTAAAGGCTTTCTGTTAAAGAGCCTTTAAACCAGCTGTAAGATCAGTCTCCATGGTGTTTAAATACAAAGTGTGCACTAATGCTGCCAGAGTAGTTCAGGTGACAGGGTAAAATCAACATAGTTTTTCAGCCATTACCTTTTAACTCCATTTAATTTCTCTTAAATTGTCCTTCACTTATACCTTTATAAATAGCACTTTTTTGTCACTGAATTTACTATAATCTGATCTTAAATTAGTTTTGACACCTAGTCTTGAGACCGGTTTCATGTCAAATATATTAATTCCAAGCAAATTGTGGCAAATAAATCTTTGCATATTAGCAAAATTCACTTGTTAAATAGCTGACACGAGACCAGGGTTTTGAAAACACTAGCTCATATGTAAGCCAGGAAATCTGTGTCCTACAGAAGTTTGAGTCTGACTTCCTTGAAGCATTTGAATAACTGATTGGCTGCTATTACACATTTGGGTGTCATTGAGTTGAACTTCTTCAGACCTATACTATAAACAGTACATCCCAGTTAACATTAAACTGCTTGTTCTTGTTCTTTGCAAAGCTCTAAGTTAGTAAGAACCTACTCAAGAATGAAGGCAAACTGAAAGAATGAAGAAGCCAAAGCACAGATTTCATTATGTGAAGCCCAAGTTTTCCATTTCCAAGCTCCTGTATCCTCAGGGAAAGGAGCTTCTACCATTTGTATGAGAAGGAGCAGAACCATGAAAAAGAAGAAAAAAGATATTGGAGTCCTTTTTATGGTGTCAATAATTAATGAAAGTTAAAGCTCTCTGAGAAAGGAGCAGTTTCCCTAAATGCCTATAGTATGTTAATATAATTTTAGGTGCTGAAAATCTCATCTTCGAAATCTTGCTCAATTCAATTTTTTTTCTAGTGAAAAAAGCCAAGGGCATTTTGTA